GGGAAGTCTGCATTAGACGTCTACAATAAAATGGTCAGCTAGAGTGAAGAATACTAATACTGAAATACTGGAGTGGCACAGTGACTAAGAGGCATGTACTAGTATACCTCTGAGGAGAAGCTGGTTCTGTGGGTGGTGTGGAATGGGTTCCGTCTTAGCTGTTGTGCGTCAAGACACATCAATGTAGAGGGATGTTCATTATGCATTAAGGCTGAAGTAACAATAGCTACTTGAGCAATTAAAGGATCTGGCTTTAAAAGGATTGGTTGGGGTGATGGACTTCTCAGTTCTGCTCTGGATGACATGAAGAGTAGATAGGATGGATAACTGGGAAATAAAAGCACTGTTGTTTTTAAATAGAAATGTTTTCATAGAAGGTAAAGAATTACTAGATTTGAAGCTGAAAAACTGGGTTTACAGGAGAATTGGATGATAGATTTGTATCCCAACCTACTGTTGAGTATTTCAGAAGAGTCATGAAGTATTAAAGCAAAAAGGCAACTTAAAAAATCAACTATGGTGGCTTTTTTTTGTCTTTTAAATCATCCTGTGGATAATTTCCAATCTGTTGCTTATCAGTTCTCAAAACTTGTTATTTTAAATTTAGAATAATCAAATCAACATCTGTTGCTAACTTGCTCATTTAAAATATTCAGCCTTAGCAAATTAGGTCTACTAATGGTCTGTTTAGCTATCATATGTAGCAATTTAATGGATTTGGTAGGAACAACGTACGTGGAATTTGGTAAAGCATTTAGTCTGGTGATGTATTTGGTTGTTTTAAGATTTTCTTTAATATGAATTCAAATCAACTTGGGCATCATTGAGATTACACACTATGAAAAACATCAAAAAGTTAATGGTGGGATACACTATATTAAATTAGAGTGAGGTCTTCAGGTAGCACGGACAACATTGTGTATGTCTGCTTAATATGCAACATACTTGCTGCCAGGCTTGTAGAAGATTTGGAAATGCAGATGATGCTATTTTGGGCTGCATGTATGTTATAAAGAAATCAAAGCTGCAAAAATTTCATATTAAAAACAGCACAGTTACAAAACACTGAAGATTGCATTTTAAACTTGCTGCTGCTTTTATATCTCAAAAGGTTAATTTAGGAACACAGAGTGAAGGTAAGTAGCCAGTTCCCTGCCGACTTAATTATAACTTGAGTGTTTACTGTCTTCCCAAGTGGTTTAGTTTATATATTGATTTTTCAGCAGCCTCTTAAATATTTCTTTTAAAAAAAAAAAAAACCCCACACTAACATATTAATAGGGAAACTATTTTCTCTGAAAAAAATATAACAGTATGTGACATACAAACAACAATCATGCAAATTATTTCTTGTAATCTAGAAGACTACACATTATTCACAACTAAATTAGGTAAGTATTTTTTACGTACGTATCAACCTTAAAGATTCAAGAGGAATCAGTTTTACAAGCATGGCACTTCTGTAGTAATCATGCAATAAAATAAAGTATTCCCTCATGCAATAAAATGAAGTATTCCCTCTCTACTCGTTTCTTGCTTGAATGGCCAGAGATTGCTTGAACTGCTGTTACCTGGGACCTCTAATTCCCTAGCTGATTTATAGATACAGGTATACACATCTGTGTAGTTGGAACAATCCCCATACTCCCATCCCTCAAAATAACGATCCCAGTACCCTGTGCTCTTCTGACTAATTATGTCCCTTACGTTTACTCTCCCAACCTCATGTGCCTCAGTACTTTGAATTCTCCTGCGGGCCACCAGCATATATTCAGATTAATTTTGTGCTGTGTGTGCATGGGATCTGAGGAGCTGTGATACAAACAGATATCAAAAACTTTCCTTTTGTGACCATCCTGGTCATCTCCCTTTAATTATTTTTAATCTACCTGTGATGTGAGCTACTGCTGTAGATTGTGGATAGTAAATGTCGATTTTAAATATGAGTCTACTTAGCTAGCTTGTTCTTGTAGTCAATCTAATCAGTTTGGCTACAGGAGTTGAGAGAGCTATTCAGCTGACAAATTTAGGCATCTTCAGAGTGAGCTAAATAGCTTTTTAGGTTTTATTGGCTGCTGGGCTATATCTCTCTTGGCTAGAATAGAAGTTTACAGATTTGTAGCTCATACGCATGTGTTGAGATCTCTGAAATCTGGAGCTGTATCCTATTAATGTTGGCTCATTTATTTATTTTTAAATCAACTTTGTTAATGAATTTAGCGGTAATATGCTATTATGCAGCATTTTATGACCAGAAACATATGTTTCTCTGTGGTTCCCTGTAACAGCCGAAGAAATTTATTATGACTTCTACTCTTTGGCATAGAGTGCAGTGTTAAAATGTGCCTGGAGGGCAAGTAGTTATCAAGTTTCAAGGAGCAAATACTATGTGAAAATGATTTGCAAAACTGAAACCATAGTTCTGTATGTAATAAACTTTAAAAAATGTTTTTGCGGTAGGTGGATCGTATAGCATTTGATATGGATTAATTTATCTTGCTGAAGTTTAAAGTACAGTTGTAGTCTGAATGAAGCCAGCAGTGTTAATATAAGTTGAAGTAGTAGGAGTAGATGCATGATGTGATAAATGTAGCCTTGTCAATATGTTATACAATCATTTTTGAAGGCACGTGACAAATTATCTTTTTTTTTTTTTTTTACTCATTAAAATCGTCATTGTCTTAATCATCTTCCAGAACAAAAATGTCAGCTGTTTTATATACAGCAGTGAAAGCACAGCTGGAATTTGTAAGCCAAAGAATTTAAAGACTTGTGGTAAAAATATTTTATTGAGGCGGTATCTTTAGAATTGTATATTTAATAACTCTTTATTGTGTTCAGTAGAATGTTATTTGGGGCTGAGTGGAAAGGCAGAAATTTCAGATCGGATTTTTATTTTTGTGGAGATGATTTGAAGAAAATTTGAAAGTATAGTTATTGGAAAGACGTTTTAATCTGGAAGTATTTGCCACTTCCAAATTTTTTACATTTGCTGCTTGGAATGTGTGAAGCCAAATTTGTCTCATTTGACTTCTGCCAGGGCTATTTGTAGGTTTAGAAAATATAGAAGAGATGGGGGTTTCGTCCACTGAATTTAGTGTTAGACAGTAATGATCATATACAATTTATGGGAAGGCAGCTTTCTGGAAATGCAGATCATACACTTTTGTAATCTTAGATTCCACACCCCCCCCCCCCAGTGAATTACAGCAAACTCAGCCATTCTAAATAATGAGTTTTAAGAAGGAGGAAAAGGCAGAAAGGAGATCCTAGAGGCTTTAAGAACAAAAGAAGGTTAGGGGTTGTAAAGAGGAAAGTGAGAGGATAGGAAGTGCTTAGTTATGAAAATTGTATACAGAACTGCTGGGAGCAGTTCATGGATATTTCCAAAACTATGGCCTGCAGGGCTATTGTATGTGGTCTAATGTTTTGCTGGAACCTAGGCCATGGTGAGGGAATGGCATTTTGATTGCTGCACTCATCATTTGACACAGGTACTCCTGAGATCTACTGCAGCTGAGGCAGGTAAAATCTGGCAGGTTAAATCACATGAGATGATTTTCACACTGTGTAAAAATTTAGTGCCACTTTGGACCCCTAAAGGGGTTTCCCACTGTGACGATCATTCCACTTTCACAGCAAGAGCACCTTTTAAAATAAGGCGTTGACTTAAGAACACACATAAATTCAAGCTGGACAGCTAGAATGGTTCCTCCTCACAAGTCACTTTCCCTTTGCTGCAAATTTTCACCTTTGTAGGAGAATATTTGAATTACACATGAAAAAGATCTTGAATCACTGCAGTTTCCAGGTAGTATCTATCAATGTAAGTAAAATATATGCTGACTACATAGATTATTTTGGGGGGGGGGCATAAATTTGGCAATTCTGGACTGCTTCACGTGTATTTCAGCTGTTCCTCCTGTGGAAGAGCAACCTCTGGAACAGGGGTAGTGCACAATGTTTGGTATGGTCACAGCTTTGGTTCTCTGACTCTAATTTGTTTTGTTCAAGAATATCATATAGTACAATGTATACAGCCTGATTTAAAATTTTGGTGAGCATTAGTCAAACAGATACAGGTCTTTTTCACAACTTGATAAAACAATATTACAACTTCTTTATAATTAGGTTTCTTTGCCTCACAGTCCAAGGACAGCATGAGAATATTCACTTGAATGTGCCTCTAGAAGAAGAAATGAAGGTTTATCCAACTAAAGTTCTTTATTATCACTTCTGTCATTCCTAGACACCATCCACCTTCCTTCTTACCTGGAGTCCTAATTTTGGCCTTGAGAAGGCGAGATATGCAGGGAGGGGGGAAGCCACTTCACATGTGGCATCCATTCTCATACTCTTGTTTATCATGTATCTTTAAGGAAGAAATAGGATATGTGAGAGTAGCCCAAAGAATGCCACCTTCAGAAGATTTTTATTTATGTAAGTTGCATGGTTGGAGTGTTCCAAGACTGAATGTAAGGAAATCATTTGTAAAATAATGCTGGTTGAAAGTAAGTAACCTTCAAAATTTGCATTAAAAGGCTAGCATAAGCTTGACAAATAGAAATAAATGAATAAGCTCTATTCAAGACTTTCCAGATGGATCTGCAGAGAGACATTATTGTCTTAAGTGGATTTTTATATTGCTGAAAATGATTTAGATATCAACTAGTGCTATTGCGCTCACTTTTGTTGTATTTATGTTGCATTAGGCCTTTAGAATTGGTAGTAAAGGAGAGAATTATTGGTGGACAACATTCAAGACTTTTGAACTGCCAAGCAGCACTAACATAATATTTGCCTGTTATGTAGTACAGGTAGATATGCCACATCATTTATGGCTAAATACTAAAAGTTTGTCTTTTTTTTTTTCTTCAACAGATTCAGAGCATTCCTATTACAATTTAATCTTGAAGAAAGCAGGACAATTTTTATCCGATTTGCAAATCAATCTATTGAAGTTTACACTTGCCATACGGGCGTATTCTCCAACTGTTCAGATGTTTCAGCAGGTGACTGTATTATCTGATATATTTGGTACATTATTTTATGTGGTATTTTGGCTGCAGAGTAAATAATGTTCATTATTACAGATCAATAAAATATATGCCGACATTATTTGGAATCAAACATGATCCATTTATAAAGGTGATGCTTTATAAGCTGGTTATATTGACAGCAACAAATATTCATGTTTAATTGCATGGATAGCATTGTTTTCAGGGTAGAATTTTTGGAATTGTTCATTTTTAAAACTCAGGTTGTGGGGTTTTTTTGCATTGCTTTAAATAATCCTATAGGAATTCAGACATTCCCAAAGCAGAAAATTTCCTGTAGCTTCAGGTCATTTATGTTTGTTACTTAGTGGACTTCTCATCTCTCTCATTATGTTAGTATTTGAAAAGTTGAAAGATAGAATAGTCAAATATCTGCTTTGTTAATGAAAAAGTGGGAGGACATAAATTCACCATGCCTCTAGCCTAAAATTGCTCCTCCTCTTTTTAGCAATGCCACCTTCAAGATAAAGGGAAAAATCCATGTTTCTGAAAGGTAATAAGCTGTAATAAAGTTAGGGCTTTTTTGCAAGTGTTCTCTGGAGGAATATGATATCTTTTCATTTTTATCTTTCAGCTTGTGAATCCAGAGTCATTGACATGCAGTCATATGATTCCCACTTTACATGGGAATAGCTGAATAGCTGAATAGACTTAAAAAAAAAAAAGAAGGCAGGGGGATGGGAAGGAGAGCGAGCCAAACATTGACATTAATTGTTTGGGATTTATTGGTTAGCAGTCAGATCTTTGTACATTAACGTGATTGCTGATAGCGACTAAAATTAAAAATATCTCTGAATATAGGCTGTGATTTCAGCTTGTGGAGGAGGTTTCTCAGCCCTGTCTTTACGCAACATAAATGGACTTGCATTTTCTGGAGTATGACTGCATTTGATAGACTACATCTCACAAAGGTTATAAGGTCTTAATCTTCTAATATTTTCCATTACTTTTTTCACATGTACCCAATTTTGAATGGGTTTAATTAGAAACACAACTCAATGGCAGCTGTTGAGTTATTTTAATCAAAGGGATGCGAGTTTAAGTTGAAGTGCAATCAAAGCATTCTGGTTGAGTATAATTGTTGAAATATTAGATTGCAGCTGATGAACCTCCACCAGAAGGCTGCAGTGCATTTGTGGTTATCCATGAGAAGCACACCTGTAAGACTAATGAAATAAAAAAGCTGCTGAAGAAGGCTACTAAGAGGTAAATGTAATGATCTGTTTTAAGAGGAAAAATAGATTACTAAAGAGGAAAATGTATTATTGCATATATAGTTGTAGTATTTTGGAATTTTATTTTCTACTTACTTGATAATGCCACGCCCATCAAACCCTGTTTACTGGATATTTCAAGACATACCCATTTAAAGTATATGTTATTTTTAAAAAGTTACTTCTGGTTTTGAAATATTTTAAACACTTAATTGTGTGAATTCATCCATTATGAATCAAAGTAGGGTTTTAAAATAAAATCATAGAGCTTTGCTCTTCTAACCACATGGATAATTTTGTATTTCTTCCCTTTTTTTTGGTGTGGTATAGTCAAGTTTAAGTTACAGTGTACTTTCTATACAAGCTTACTATTTAATGTGTCTGAAACAGTACTTCTGCTGAAATACCTTTCTATGTAGTCAGTGCCGCTGCATTTGAGGTTTTCTGGATTGTGAGGGCTTGGCACAGGAGTGGAAGAGGAGTCTACTTCAGCTGGCATAACCTTTCCTCACCTTGTGCTAGACTCTGCACCTATCAAGCCTTTCTGCAGCCCTTTGTCCTCTGGAAACTAGCATCACTGCAGAATGAATTTGGGCCGTGAAGTAAAATAATGTAGAACCTATCAAAATAACAAATAATAGCAAAATAATGAAAGCAAAATGTTTAATCTCTATTAAAAAAGAATTCATTTGTATTTTTTCAGGACCTGTATGTAGCATTTTTTTGTTTGGTTTTTTTTCCTGCAATGGTCAATGTCACTGTAATATACATTAGTGTCCATACCCTCAACCACTTCATGGAGATATGTAGAGCTGAAAGGTGATTTAGTAGGGCATATTTCTTGGATTTTGCTTTCTATCAAATATAAATTGGAAAAAAAACCCTTGAGAACCTATAAATTTGTCTCTTTGGGGGTGGTTGCTTCTGAAAACAATTTGGTGTTCTACATGTGTGATTTATGGTATTTTCTAAGTCCATTGATACAATTACAACCTACTAAATCATTGTTTTTTACTTACTCAATAGCCAAGGTTTTTACAAAAAAACTTCGCTGTCTAGTTTGCAATGTCCCATTTTTAACTATTACATTCTGACTAACGGATGTCTCTTACTTTCTTGCATAAATTATTTGTACTATATTTTGGCTTTTAAAATTATGTTGAATTCTTCTGCTCATATATTAAGGCATTATGAGACCTTAACATTTTATCACAATGTCTGAATATACTCTTCTTCTAAAGCAGTTAAATGGATTCAGCACATTCTCCTTTCTGGAGATACTATGCCCAAATTTACAAGTTTCTGGAAAATCATGATACTAAACAATAGAATCCCGAAGTATTCAGAATCAAAAGAGTTCATCTTCTAGGAATCATTGACTTTAAGAACTCAAAACAAAACTGAAGGTCTTTCTATTAAATTGTTCTTGTGTTTTGGATAGTTTTATGTTCATCAGTCACATTATAACCTTTAGAGCTGCAGGGACAAAGTCGTGATAAACTTCCTCTCCTTCTCCCCACGCCAAAAATAGTTGCGTCACTATTTAGAGTTCCTGGAGCTAGACTTTGAGAAAAACATGTTCACCTTCAGGTAATTGTTTCAGCTATTCTTTCCAGTTGTACTCTGGGTAGCAGATGCTTTTCACTTATGCTGGAGATGTCTAGCCTAGGTGATAGTGTTTTATTGATTCCTTTTTTAATTCAAACTATTTTCCTTTGTATTTCGTGTTCTGTCTTCTGTCTGTCATGACTCTTCCACTTAAGCCAGGCTAACTTAAGCTAGGCTTTCAGTTGTGTCCTGAAGTTCCCCATATTGGATGAGGACACTAGAAATGTTCTATTTTTAGGGATAATAATTTCAAACCTCACTGGAAGAGGCATTATTTTGTGCAGATCCATCAGCTCAACCTGAGATCCAGGAAGTCTCAGGTACTTTGGACTCAGGAGAGCGCAAATAGTCTGCATGTCAAGATCAAGGTTTTGCTTCTTCCAGTCCTTTATGCAGCAGCTACTGTGATTTGGTCTGTTGCACTTTCATGTTGAAACAGACTGCGTGACTCTAATTGGAGGTATTTTGTGTGGAGGTGCAATGGGCTGCTCAAGGGCTCTGGACATTTCAAAGGAAGATCTTCAGTGGTTAAATGGTTGGGATTGCTCATCTTGCTAACTGTCCAAAACACAACACTAAGATTTCTGGGGCTGTTGCTCCAAGAGCAAAAGCATTGATGGGAGTCACATTTTGCTCAAAACAATCAGTGCCTTAGAAAGTTTGTCAGTACGCATGTCTGCTGTCTTCTGTCCATCACATTCCTTCTGCATCCCGTCTTGGCAACTATCTAGGCAAGCATATAGTTGCCTGTACTACCCTAGTAACTGATTAGCAAGTGCTGAACTCCACATCCATGTATTTTTTTTTATCTTTTTTTGTCTGCCCAGCTGCTGTTCCTTCCCTTTCAGGCAGCCTTCTCATGAGAATCTCTTATGGCAGGAAATAAATTAGCTTTCAGCTCTAAGAACAAGAGAATCAATTACTTCTCACTACTATTCAGTGTCGAAGAGAAACGGAGAACGGAGGCTTATCTTGGGTTTACAAGGGCTGATGCTGTAATTCTCCAATCCAAGGTCATTATGGTGTCCCTCTGCAGTGTTATTTCACTGCAGCACTTAATTTTTTAGTGAAGCTTGGTCATTATAGTATAAAATGCTTCCTTTGAGACTGTCAGTGTTCAAGAAAGTCATAACAGCACTTGGTACCCACATTTTGAGAACAGGAGTCATTCTTCTGCTATATCTAAGTCACTAGTTAAGAAAAGAGAAGCTCCTTTGATCTAGGTTTTCAACTCTCTATAAATGACTGTGGCAGTTCTTGTCTTTCTGGATATGAGAAGGAAGCTGCACAAGTCACATCCCATATGTATATTTTCATCGCAAATCTGGATCTGTTCTTGAACAGAGCTTACTCATTCAAGAGTTGTTTCAAACTCCTTGATGACACCTACTTTGTCTGTCTTGTCCTGTAATGACAGTGGGAAAGCTTGCCTGGTGTTTCTGTGACACATGGCTGCAGGCACCCAACTTAATTCTCAAACCTGGCCCCTCCTTTTGTCTCTGCCTTACAAATGTGGTCTTTTGATTGCATACCTACCAACCTTACATAGGATGTTGATGTTAGGGCCCTGAGTAACCTGATACAATTTGGCCCTGCTTTGAGGGAGGAATTGAAGCAAATGACCTCCAAAGGTCCTTTGCAATATAAATTATTCTGTGATTATTATATTGAAGATATTCCTAAGCTTTGCCTCACAGAAACTATGGCATGTAGAGTTCTGCTGCCACCTTTGCAGTATGACTTTTCAATAAGCATCTAGTACACACATTTCTGCAGTATGTGTTGGATTAGAGTTTCTCAACTTCCCTTGGAGAGGTTTGGAGGGCGTTTACTGGCCTTTTAAGTGTGACTATGCAAAGACAACTTTGAAAAAGAAGTGTACTCATCAGTAATTAGCACCTTGAGTATATCCTTTGTTACTTTTCCATCTTTCCCAAGTTTTATTCAGAAGATGTTTGCAGTCATCTAAGAAATCATTGCAGGTATAGAAAGCTTAACTTTTCTACAGTCATGGCTTTCAATGAGGATGTGTAGGTAGGCAGTCAAATTTTGCAAAATTAGCTATATTAACAGAGCTTGATGGTGTTAAAACATATCCCCAGTTAGTTTCCGTGTGTGTTAGCAGCTTTTTCAAACTTCACTGAATATCCCTCTGCTACTCTGTTACTCACTGTTTGCTCTGTACATCTCTAGTAGATCTCTAGTAGAATTAAAAGATTCAAGCTGTAACTGATTGTTTCACACAATCTCAAAGTGCTGTGCTTTTCATTTGCTCTTTGTGTTGTGATTTGATAAAATATATTAAAATTATTAATAGTTAATGCTGATTTTTCACTGTCTTAGACTTTAATTTGAAAATTTGGTGTTCTAAGTTTGTTTGTGAGCAATCATGATTATTTTATGATGATTTTAACATGGCTTGTATACTTTTAGCGTATAAGCCCTTACTAGTTTTTTCAATTATGAAGTAGAAAAACTGCCACTGTTTTAATTTTTTTCTGAATAGATAATATCACAATTATTTGTTTTTAAAACCAGACCCAGGCCATATCTTTTTAAGGGAGATCATAAATTCCCAACTCTCAGAGAGGATGGCCCAGTGGTTGTTCTTTATGCAGAAATGGGTACAAAAGACTTTGTCAAATTCCACAAGATTTTATCTGAAAAGGCGCAAAAGGAGGAAATTGTTTATGTTCTCCGGCATTATGTTCAGGTATGCAATTCAAATTAACATTGATTCAGTATACTGTTACTATTCTGTCTTTATTTTTCTTGCTTTTTGACAAAACACATTTTCTACATTTATCTTTGCATTTGCCTAAATCATGTCCAATACATATTCTAATTTTAAAACTTTCTAGATTAAATGATTCACCTAATACAAACTTTGAAGCTGGGAAAGCATGATAATATTATCTAATCCTGCATGCAAGTACTGTTTGCATCGCTGATTGATGTTGAAATATCTCTTTTTTGGTTATATGTCTGGTTTTTATATGTTGTATAAAGATCTTGGAGGAATCTTGGTGCAGCAGACTGAACCTATTCGTAAAAAGAATTAGAAAAATGGGAGCTAGAATAGAAAATCAATCACTTATCATTTTATATATTATCAGTATAATCTCATATGTTGGTTGCAGTACATCAGCATGGGCTATCAGATTCAACATCACTGGTCAGTTCTTCAGCGTTTACATTCCACAGTGTCAGTATTTTAAACATAACGTTTCTGAATGCTTTTCTTAACTTATTCTGCCCCCCAAAGAAACAACACAAGACAAATACCAGTACATGGAACCATATTGTTCCCAATTTTGGTTATGGAAGCTTTTTGTAATTTATATTCAAAGTACAGCACTTAAATAGTGCAGCTAATACAAACATAATCTGATGGAGTGAGAGGTTGCTGTGATTTATGTAGACCAGGCATTTCAGGGAGATGAGATCCATAGTTTGCGGATGACTTTGAGTTGTTTGCTCACAGTAATGGAATAGAGAATCTGAGGAAATCAGTCTTAAATTCTAAGTTGTTTAGGGGTATAGTTTTTACTGAACTTTCTGCTCTTCTTTTATGCACTTTTTTTCCCAATTAAATACCTACAGTCTCCTTGCTCTGACATGCACCATGGTCCCCCCAAATGCCTATTGTCTTTCTCCCTGTACTTCCTCTCTCTTCAGACTGCTCCCTTTCCTCCTTCCTCACAACATCCATTTTATTCTTTGGTTCCCACTCAGGCGGATTCTCCGTCCTTCTTTGCATTGAATGCCAGAAGAGGGAGCATTGAAAGCAGAAGGGGTACAGTCTTTCTGCTGTCATTTTTTTTTGCCAGTATCACTGAGACTGCTTAGAGAGCGCAGTGCCCTCTGCATTGAGATTTGCTTAGAGGACCAACAGAGAACACCCCCAACTCTGCTGGGTGTTCAGTTGTGGGCTGGAGGATTCTCAGTACAGAATGATTCTTAGAAATTGTAAGCTAAAGCTGAAAGGCTTTCAAGAAATTGCTGCTGTGCATGTGCAAATTGCATTTTGGAAAGGGGATTTTCATGCATTTTGGGCAAATTAGGGCACATTTTCAGCAATAAGTATGCTCTGAGTAAATTACACTATTGAATGTCAAACTTCTACTCCGAAGTTAGAAATACTTCTTGTTCTTAATAAGTGGCAACCTGGTTTTAGCAGTGATACCTTAATGCATTTTTCTTAATTCTTGTTGCAGATAGTGATTAACTCTTTCATCAAAACTCTTTGAAAGAATCAGCCTGATGCAGAAATAGAGAATTTCCTCCTAACATGCTGAAGTCTGGCAAAATTACAAAGAAATTAACAGCAGTTTATAATGTGAATTGTAAGGCGTCAATAATTGTATAGTGTGCTACCAGCTCTACCTGTTCTAATCCTTCTTCTAATATTATGTGAAGGGACTACAATTTTGACATAGCCTTTCTGTGGTCTGCAGGAGATAAAGAAAGTCCATACTTTCTGTTACACACCTTCTCAATGGACTGTCAATATGCCTTACATGACTCTTATAATTTGTTTGGTATAGTATTTTGTACTTTGAATCATAAATTGAGAGATGAATTTAAGTTATGACTGTCATAACATTTTAAAGTTACTGTATTAGATATTGTTAATCTCCTTTTTTAATTACATTTTTTGTTCTGTTAAAATAATATCATCAAACAGAAACCAAGTTCCAGAAAAATGTATTTATCTGGATATGGTGTAGAACTTGCAATAAAGAGCACAGAATATAAAGCAGTAGATGACACACAGGTTAAAGGTATGTGGATTTTTTTATTTATTTATGGTATCTTATTGGAGATACTATTGAAATATGTTATAATCTTCAGTTACAAAGTCAGTAATGTTTGAAGGTTATATTAATTTCTTTTTACAGAGGAAATCTCAGGCATTAGGAACTAAGACATCAAAGTATACGCAAGCATGTGTAAACAGCTGTGCTTAGGATATAGTTCATTACCTAACCTCTAATTGTTGTTTTCTGTGGCTCTTCAAAACGTAACCCATTCTTCTTCCTTTCAATAAGTATAAGATTGTTTAACCTTTGTTCTTCAATTACTTTGTTTGTTGGCATCTCTAATATGCTAATTACTACAGTATCTACACATAAGTGTTTCAGGGGTGAAGGGTTTTTTTCTGAATTTATGTGGAAGTATTTTCACAATCTGTAGGAAAGATGTGCTGTATTATAGAATTTGGTACCAGTGTATGTTACGATGTTTTGAAATGAGACATTTACCACAGAAAGTGGTAGCTGTAGCATTCTGACACAGAGGAATTACTTTGTGTGGACATTTACAAGATATAAAGGAAGTTAGTTAACTCTCTTCGGTAAGACTAAGGTTTAATAGCCTTTGAGTCATGTCAAAATTTTTTTAAGGGAAGGAAACTGATCTCTGACTTACATCAAATGCTAGCTAGAGATTCAAACGCTTTAAAGTCATCATGCTTTTCAAGCATAAATTTGATAGTATTTGGCTGATAAGAGTTATACCGTACCACTTAATCAAACTGAGAAATGGCTGCTTTGGGAAGTGAACTATTTAACCATATCAATTTCATTTATATAAAAAATGTAACCATTGGATGAATTATATTTAAAATTTAATTTGAATGTTGCTAAGTTCTGTAAAGTGATTCATTCTGATGCCAAAGTATGAATATAAAATATAAATATCAATCTAATTGAAATTACATCCGGGAATGACAACTTTCTGATTGTATGTTTTTGTTAACCGTTTTATAATTCGCAAGAACATATACATCAGTAACTTTCTTGGTTTATATTGTCTACATGTGCTATGTGTTCAGGAGCAAATGAGACAAAAGAAGAGGAAGAGGAGGAGGAGGAGGAAAGTGATGTCCAAGGATTTCTCTTTGGCAAATTAAAGTGAGTTGATATAAGTTATAATTAAGCTTCTGCATTTGTTTCTGGAACCTGAACCAAAAATAAAAAAATGTTTATAGAAGAAGTGAGATTTGTGTTGGAAATTACTTTCTTTGCCACTGGTGAAAATTCTGATTAATTTTTTTGTGTTTGTCTTGTGAATGTAATGATGCAACAGTTGTTTATTCTGTTCATTTCAATTTATTGCTTTTAGCTTTCTAATTCTCTTAGAATGTATACAGTAAACTATTTTTAATGTAAAAAATTTCCCTCTGGGCATCAGTCACAAAAACTTAGAACACCATGTTTTCATGTTTTGTGTTTGCAGTAAATTGTTGCTGCTACTTCTGTTTTGAGATAATTAGAATCAAAATGTTGGTTTTCAAAATGCAAGTAGTAGCACAACAAATCCAAACCCATGTGTTGTAGCTACATAAGGTGTTTTTAAGATGGATAGTCATGAATTTCTTAGAGTTAAGGAGTGATACTTCTTGGAAGATATGGTTATTATAGATGTCTTCTTATTTTGGAGTTCGTGAGTTTGTGTTCTGTTCTAGCAGGAACTCTTCTATCTCCAGGTTACTATCTGTTAGATGAAATTGGATGTTACCTTATCGAGGGCTCCTTCCAGTCCTCCACTGATGGATTCATTTCATGGTCATCAAAACTGCTTCCCTTTTCCTGTAACAGATCCATGCAGTGAATCATAAATCCTGGGTTTTTTCTTCAACAAGAAACTCAGGAGTATGGGTCTTCTCTAATGTCATTCTCTCTCTTATTATTTAAAGCAAAAAGTAAACTTGTTTGTAGATATTCTTACCAAGCTGTAAGTCTTCTCAGAGTTCAGAGCTGCTAATGGTGTCTAAATTCTTGAGAGCCCATCCCCTTTCTGCCTTTTTTAAAGTAAACGCATTGAGATAGAAGTGCACCCAGATCTGCAGGCTTCCTTGTTGTTTCACCTATGTATTAGAGACCTTCCACAGCAGGTAATATCAAATGCTTAGGTTGTATCGTTATCTGAGCTTTTTTTCTTCTTGGATTGTGCTAGCTTTAGCTATATTTAGGTTCTTGATGTTGCATTGTGACTCATTTGTGAAGCTGTCAGATAATTACTCAGACTTTTTGACACTGTTTCTAGACTCATATTTTTTTCTTCTCCTTTTCATACTGGAGATGAAAGAAATGTTTCAGTAATCTGTAAATTGTCCCTCAGTTATAGCCATGTTGAAGGTTATACTTTTCTCGGCTGTGAAATAGTTATGAATGTAAACAGAAGACATAAAATCTTAGAAATATAACTATTTGATTGTGCAAATTAACATAATTCAATCCCACATCATGATAAATGTCCAGAGAAAGGTAGCTTTTTTCAGTTGCCTTTATATGTGTTTGATTTTGTGCCTACATTGACCATAGTGTAAGTGAACAAGAGAAATGAGGGACCAAGCATCAATAATAGATCTTGGTTGTGGCTTGTGGCTAGGTCTTATTTGTCAGTTGTCTTTCATTCACAGAAGAATTGAAGGTCTGAACAGAAAAAAAAAATGTATATCATCAAGGTAAATTTGCAAAGAAGGCGGTAAAAACATTAATTAAAATGGTCTAAACTAGTTAAGAGTTTGCTACTTCATAGAGGGATTTCTAAGAGTACAAACTGTTTGCCATTTCTAGGTATGCTACAAGTAAGAAAAAAAGGAATGTTCTGTCTTTGCTTCCTTTTTCAGCTGAATATGCTTTCTTTGAGGAACCTGGACTATATTTTAATTCGAGAACATCAGTCTTCATCAGTGATATTTTTCTTTTTCTGTAAAAAACAATGGTTAATATCATCCAACAGCTAAAAAATGAGGAGGGAGGGATTCCTTGTGAAATTTCTTAATATCTAAAATAAAATATGAAATATTACAGAACTTAAAGTCTTAATGCTTTAGATGTCTGGTTTTTAGCTACTTTTTGCTTCTTGTTCAAGACTTGTAGTAGAAGAATCTTTGGAAATCTAATGGAGATTGTTTGACGTTCGAGGGTGTCCTGTAGTAGGCTGAAGTCTTTGGCCTCAAAACTTCCTTACCCAATTATGTTTTCAAAAAAAATAGCCAAGCTTTTGGGCACCATGCTCTTCTTCAGGTCTGACTCAGTAGCTTGATTTTGTCAGTGATGTTAATTTATAGAAGATGTTCTTAACATTATCTTGCCTGTATCTTTTGTAGGTAGTACAACAAACTCTGTGTACAGTTACAGTTAATCTGCAGTACAGTTAGTAAACAGTTAGGTATACATTATGCTATAGTAAACTAACTATACAGTTACCTGTATTGTGTGAATTTAATCTTTGAGTTCATTTATTCCATCAAAATTTATGTGACAGGGTTTGAGACAGATCACTACAAAGCAATTGATCTCCTCCTTGTAATTAACTGGTTTTTAGTCCTCAGAAATCACCTCTTTTCACCCCAAATCCTCATTTTTGTTTTATGAATGAATTAAAATTTTAATTCTTGCTTGTTACGCTAAAGATACTGTATTAGCTGTGAGCAATACTGTGGATAAAAGCAGACATTGATGGATGTGCCTTTTTTTTAAAAAAATGTTTTATTGTAGACAGATGCATCCTGATCTGAAAAATAATCTGAGAGAGTTTAAAAAACATCTAATTGAAACTACTAACAACATGGAACCGCTGAAGGTTTGGGAGCTACAGGGTATGTATTGCATTTTTCTGAATTAACACAGTACTCTCTTTAATTTTCCTTTGTTATGTTGATGTATCAACATTATGATAAAAGCTTCTTTTAAAGAGAGACATGTGGTTTCATAAAAACGCAGTATTATATCAAGTATTTAAAAAGAATCTGTTAGTATCTTGTCCTAGTATTATATGCTAGAAATTGAAGGAGCATTGAAGTAATTTTATAAGATAGAGAATCATAACTAGCTTTACTGATTTTAAAGACGGAAGTTATACTGTCTGTTTTCTGCCTGATGTGTTATCTCGGATGTTAAATTTAGTTTCAGATATTTTTTTGAGAGGTCAGGCAAAAAATATCATTTTGACGTGACTATTGAGTCGGGGCAAAATACAGGTTAAGACAGTTTTAATTTATAAATTCTAACTTTTATCGGTGTACTGGAGTTCACATTGATACATTCTTTGATATAATATCAAATGGAAGAACACGCTTTTAAAGGCTCTCCTGTGGAAAAGGAGAACCAATATGTGGAAGTTGATTTCTAAACAGCTTCTGTGCTGATGACCTGCAGGACGTTCTGTAGCTTGAATGGAATTATAAATCATTCTAAAATAGGTCTCTAAAATGTCACTTAAGTTTAGGCAGCTAAATTTTACCTGTTACATTCCTCAGTTTTAGAGGACAACCTGATGAAAACTGATTTGCCTTTGTATACTAGTGCAATGGAGGAGACTGAGCAATCATCTGAACTTCAGTTTCTTTGTGGGACCCTGACTGTTACAGAGCTTGCTAGCAGTATCCAGTCTGAAACTAGCTATTTGAGATAATTGTAGTTCACTTGCAGTCTTTTATCAATGAACTGCCTGTCAGCTGCAGGATCTATCTTGATCTAAAATAAAAAAAAATTGAAAAACATTGCATTTCAGTTCTCCTGAGAAATCTAATGTGCAAATAAAAAGAAAAGCATCTTTTTGTCTATTTAAATTTTTTTTTACGTGATTGAATACCACTCTGTTGATGTTCAAGCAGAAGCAGCTGTGAAACTTTGATCCCTTTAGTGTCTAGCTTCAAAAGCCAGTACAGGGTCTCTATTTAGTGGTAGTCTTTTCTGCGGTGTCATGGCTATATAAATACAAAATTAAATTGGTGCTGCTCCCCAAGCATCTAGTTCATGCAGTGTTGAAAGTAGTTAAGCATTGGGATGCTATTTGTTCAGTGCCAGGAAGACTGGTACTGGCTTGTGATAAGTACATTCAGGGCCTGTTCAGACAGGGGGTCTTCAGCCCCCTTTTTGTACTGTGCAGTTGTTTTAATACTCTTACTCCTGACATGACTGGGTGCTTTCTCTAGTTCATCCTTAAGGACTAATTATAGTGGGTGAGTTAATGGCTCAGGTACTCTCTGATTTCCTTTAATTAGCTTCCAAGTAAAAATTTAACTAAATTTAACCAAAACTCTTTCAGCTGTAGGGCATACTTCTATTTATAAATGACCCCAAACACCATTCAGGAGTTGTCTTTCAAGAGCCTTTATGTTTTACGTAAGTAATTAGGTTTACTATTCATAGTGAAAAATGATGCACAAAGTACCAATGTGGTATTCCCTTTAATAACTCATTCTTTTATCTGTGTGAACAGCCTCTTGATCTCTAGTGGTTCATTAGCTTTCAAAGCATACTTTGAGATCTACTTTAAGCTCAGGATCATCTTTTTCCCAACGTGCCCTACACTGCCATCTCAGCTGTGTTAGGGTGCCGCAAGAGGAGGTCTGTAAGTGACAGTCCCTGACCAGCGATAACCAAGAAGGTTAAAAGACATGCAGTTTGCCTCAGTGGGATTTCAATATTCATACTCTAGCTGTTCAGCATAAAATAGAAATGATTAACAATTTATGAAGGATTTTAAGTGTGTGTCCTAAGTGCACAGCAGGTAAAGCATCACTGTCTGTAGTAACAGCAGCAATTGGATATTGCTTCACCTGATCACAGCTTATGTGGCTGTTGAAAGGGATCTGAAACGTTCTTTTTGAAAACAGTGATCTCTTTATACTTTTTGTTAGAAGTATTAAGAAATACCAAGTTAACATTCCACCTCTCAGACTCACCTTTTTTTCCAGCCAAGGTGTACCTTACCAGGCTAAACTAGGAATGTGTGCTATTCATTTCTCTTTAGCCTTTTTTTTTTTTAAATTCCTTATTGCTTCAAAAAGATGGTGCAAAGTTCTACTAGGCAGCATCCTCTATGACTTTCTGCCCAGAAGTTTTTACTGTATCAGCTTTCCTCAAACTGAATAACCTGAGGTCTTCAGTTTCTGCTCAAATGTCTAAAATGGCAGATTATGAGGAAAAAGCATCATTGCCCTGAGGTAGTTAGGCAGACTGTATCCAAAGTACATGGAAGCACCTAGTATATTATTGCCTATTGGTACCAAAATTGGATTTTCCCCAGTCTCAGGTGCCAAGATTTGTCACACCCAAGTTAGGCACCAGAGAAGGTTAACTGAATTCCATCATTGTTTTTCCAGTGGATAGGCAAATGAATTATAAACTGTCCTGATATGTGAAAATTTACTTCATTCTGAGAAAAAACATAGAGAGAAAAATGAGATACCTTTAAAAATTGTGCTAGACACTTAGAAGAACTGAAATTTGACACTAGATTGGTCTTTCTTTCATGAGTCTCCATTTTCGCTTCCTGTGAAATTGCTGCTACTCTTGAAAACTGTACACCTCACATGCTCAATACAGCCTTCTATACTTAATATATCTGTTCTCTGAAAATCTTGTGAAGTCCTGGAGCTGGAAAGATCTTATTCTTTACTGCAGTTATGGGTGTCTGTGGGTTGGTGTGTATCTAGGTTTGAGCATGATACCGTTGTGATACTGGCATAATATCACATGATGAATTGTCTGGTTTTTTCACCATGTTTTTGTAAACTTAGAAATTACATGTACAATGTGTATGCTCAAGACGGCCGAGCAGAATTCTGTAGGAAAGCCTAAATGTGGTATTTCCAACTTTTAAGTGCCCACCATTTTGACCTTAATAATGTTACTTCATAATCTTTTACAATGCATAACTGAAACATTAAACATGTTAATAGTGAGAGTGTGTATATGGAACAGTTTTCTGATTGTAGGCAGTATTGATTGAGAGTGATATTTCCAGTGATACTTTTTTTTTCCCCAGATCTTAGTTTTCAAGCAGCTGCTCGAATTATGTCTACCCCTGTTTATGATGCCTTAAAGGTAATGAAAGACATAGCTCAGAACTTCCCAATAAGAGCCAGGTATGATACTTAAACTTGTTTTTCAAATACTGTTTTTATGTTTGCATTTGAATTTAATGACAGTAATACAGATTTGTATCCAAATCCTGCAGTCAGATATTCATGTTTTACAGCTTGCTAGATGGATGCCAGGCAATTTCACTGAGTAGAAAATAACTCCTGGGAGAGCTCATGATCGGTCTCTTAAATGTTTCCTGTCTGATGCAGGAGATGCCATGAAGGCATCCTAATCCTTCAGGCACTTCTGGTTGAATGCCTAGTCCTCCCAGCTTTTACTGGAATGATATTTTCCCTGGTGGAAAATTCTGTTGAATTTATAGTAGATCTACTCACAGTAGGAAGAGGCAAAATTCTATTAATAAATTTTGTAGGGGATCCACCCACATTAGTTCCTAAGGACAACATTGCTGACAAGATCAGGCTCCGGCTACTATATGTTAGTGTTCTTACCAGGGAAGATCTGTCTCCCATAACAGATTACTTACAGATTACACTCCCACTTGGAAATCTATTCTTAATAAAAGATCAAGATAAATATTAAATAAATGAATAACATTTTCCTCTGTACTAATATGAAAAATGGCTCTTCCTGTAAGCCAATTGTATTGTAATTGAGAAATGCTTTTCTTTATATTTAATAAGTTCTTCATGTAATCCTATCAGCAGTATTTGCTTGAATTACTGAATTAAATACAATGCTAAATAGGATTCTTAACTCAGTGTGCTTTCACATTTCACAACTCTTGTTTAATTATCACACTGTTTCATTGTCATCTCTGATTTTTCTGTTAGAGAAAATCTACACTGTAATGGAAAAACTACCTTTGTAACATCTTGATACAAAGGAAGAAAAATAACTTTTAAAATGCCTGAAACATAATTATTATGAAACAGTAAGATACAAGTTTACACTTAGATTAGCAATCAGAAAATGCAGCTTTCCTTTAGAAGATAGTGGAAACATACATAATGTTGAACTGCAAGGCCAGTTCAGTTCTTTAAAGCACAGGGAAAAGTCAGTTTGAAGTATGCTAGGTGACATTTAAATCATTGATATAAAAAGTCATTAAATTGTTACATCCCAGTCTGACTCCTGCCATATATTTGTGGCATTAGAGCACAATTTACCTACTCTTCAAACATTTTTTTTTTATGGGCAAAAGTATAAGAAGACTTTAAAATTATTAAAAGGGGAATTGCAGTTCCTGTCCTGTATGATTTATTCTAATATGCTAATCTAGCATGTTATTTTTAACATGAGAAGTTACAAATATTTAAATAATTTAAAGTTAGTAGGTCTGCATTGACAACAAACTTAAATCAAAGGGGCATTGTATAAAAACAGTGCACAAAATATATTTCCTTAATAATCTTATCATGCTTACCCTACTGAGTCAAAAATACTAATTTGGGAAAAAAAACCCTAGAATAAACAGGAAATGAAAAAATACTGCTTAATCACTTTAGGTCGACAACTGATCGTTATAATAGTAGTGTTTTAAAATTGTTTAAATTTCACACAGTTTAGATAGGAAAACAAGCATTTTTTAATTATGCAAATTTTGCTTTGAAAGGGCTGTATAAAAATTTTAGAACTACAGTTATGAACATAAAAATTAAATATTATGTGTTCTTTAAAAATGGAGGGGTTTCTTAGGCCATAAAAATGAATATACCATTCCTCTGGAAGTTTCTTTCACTTTCTAGTTTTTGTGTCTCAGTATTTCCAGTTGAAAAGGTTAGACTGAGGCAGATTTTACAAAATGTCATCAGATGTAGACAGTGTAATAATTGATATATGTCATGGCAACATTTTGATAATTCGTTTTATAGGGTATTTTTCATCTTTGTTTTGTTGTATGAGTGTCATAATTACCTGTTATTTAAGAATGCAATATTAAGAATTATAATACTCTGTTTCATGCTATTCCTTTATCATTCATGAAAGTTAACATTATGAACATGTGAAAAGTTTCCTTTTTTCCCCCGATATGCAGTACTACATAGCTACATGTTCTTCCAGGTAAGAATAAAGATGCATAAGATTATATGATAGAAAATATTACAACCTTAAGGTCATAAAAGAACATTCCTACGTCATGTAGAATGATAAATAATATCCATTTACTTTCAGACTGTAAAGTGTTTTTCTTTAGTAAGTCCTTAGCACTTAATATTTAGAAAAACATGCATAAAACTTTGTGAAGCTCTGAACAAATTGAACAAATGACTGAACTGAAAATGAACAGGATACTTTTCTGTATCTTTCACAGATACTTTTACACTTGTTACCTCAAATTCCTAGGATGTCCTTCTCAAGGATCGACCATCACACTTTCTCCTTAAAATCTTGCTAGAATCCTGCATTGTCAACTGCTGTGCATAGACAAGGAGCTAGTTAACGATTCTTTAATGTATTGCTTTCTTATTATCAAAAAAGCTATCAGTAAAGCTTACCTTTTGCTGATAAGTATTTTACTTCCTTGCTAACATTGGGCCAGCTTTGTCTTTTCCTTTCTGCCTTTTTATTATTTTCACATTAATTTTTTATCTTTCTGCCGTACTACTCAAAGCTATTTGGAAATATTTAGGTTTTTCTTTTTATCTGTGTAGTTTTTATCACCTGTGTGTGCAGAATGAAGCATTGATTCTGAGAGTTGCAGGCCCTACTTCTATTTATGTTGAGTTTAGCAAGATAAAAATCAGAGCTTTTTTTTCCCTAAAGTATTTTTTAATTCAGTACTCTCTAAAACTATTGCTATGAAGTCAGAATAATAGTTGTGGTAGTACTTCCACACATTAAATTTCCACCTTGCTATGGAGTCCTTCTGTTAAGTAGCTGTTTTGCTCGTTGGCTAAGTAAATTCTCAGGAATAATTCCCATCAATTACAGATGTTCTTTTAATGAGAAAAGTTCTGTAGTGTTCCTGAATTGTGTCTATTGCTGGTAGAAGGTCCCTTAAAGCAGTGTCCTACATAGTCAGCTTTTGAGACTTCTGATTTGATAGTGTTTTTTCCTAATCCTTCTCCTCCATTTTTCCAAATTTAAATTTGGCTTCAGATATTCTTTTCTTTGTACTTACAGTTTCTTTTAATTTTTTTTTTTTAAATCTTAATAAGCCATGTTTCTTTTTCAACAGAAATGTTTATAGTTTCTTGCTTTTTGTTCTACAATTTTTATTTCAAAACTAGTGAACACAGAAAGTAGTACAGTATAAGATATATTTACTCACTATTGAATACACTTACTACATTCTTTATGTGCATAGAGAGTACCTAGTAGTATGATTATAAACGCTTTATGAGAAAGAGTTTAGATTAGTTGAACAATAATAAGCGAGTTATTAAGCTCATCCTCCAATGATTATTGATAATAATATATTTGAACCATGTTGACTGGTTTTTAGTGCTGTCTTTGACATCACGGTTAGAGTTACACCTTTCTCATTTTGAGCCATGGAAAGCCCACCAAGTATGGGTTGGTATAAATAACAGCTTTTCTTGATCCTCTACTGCCTTTTCATGACGTCGTCTAGAAGAGATTCACAGTGACGAAAATAATCTGTCAGAATATTTAGAGGGGGTGAATGGAGAAAGGGTATTTAGCTGTGATGAATTGTGTAATATTTATAAACAAAGCTTGGAAATCATATTGTTTGAACTTAACAAGTAGTCTCTTTGATTGCCTGGAAAGCTTGAATATCTGTTTAAAGTAAATTGACTTTATGCCTTATTTCTGACATACTGTGAAAAATCTGGAGTTTACTAGCAAGATCTATTCTAAATCAGTTTCTTTTGGGGGGGGGAGGTGAGGATTTATATTATTAAATAACTGCTTTATTATCCATAAGTATTTAATTTGGCTTAGTAGGATCATTCTCAGTTTGTTTAGTTAACTTTCAGGTTTAAGGTTACTCCAGTTTTTCTTAAAGCCCCATACAGATTTGCTAAAACATGTACAATCATGTTTTGAAAAAAATATTTATGTAGGCAAATAGAGTATTTATTCTGGCATTTATTGGGAGAATCAGATTTAGTTTAATATGGTTTAGGGTTTCTTAAAACGTGCAGAGACTAATTTGCCTCTGGGAGTATTTTATGATAGCCTAGTAATTATAAACTTCACATACAATACATTGTGACAAAGGAAGTTAAAATAGTCTTCCACAACGTTCTTGAAAGGTAAAAAAGACAAACCAATGGATTATCTTCTAAAGGTAGAATGACTAAGGAAACTAAAATTTTGGCTGTCTGTGACTACTTAACATTTTCAAGGGTCTCAATCTGTAAATCTGTTTTCTAATCTCAGCTAATTTTAAAGTGGTCATTCCTTGAATATTTTGCTTGCCTTTGGCCAAAACATCAAGTTGTATCCTTGGCCGCCTGTGCTGTAATGTTGAGTAGCATGGAGTTAGTAACAGTAACTTAAAATATACAAATATGACATTTATTTAGGTAATAATTAAGGTGATCAAACAACTTATTTTTTTATAATATACATGCTATTTTCCAGAAAAAATAAGAGGAAAAATCGAGTCGTAAAAAATATGCTGATAATATTACTTCAACAAAACATAGCATAAATTTGAAACCTGGGTTTACCAGAGTAACACAGAGCAAAATATTTGTTTTGAAAATAAAATATTTATGACACTGCATTACTCTTTTTTTAAGTCTTAATTACAGCATTCTTCAATTACAGTCCATTGGATATGGTATTAAAATACATATTTCACATTATTTAATGCATTTTTAAAAATACAGTGGTTGAGTGATGCCGGTATTTTATTTTTACAGATCACTGACCAGAGTGCCTGTAGACAAGAAAATGCGAAATGAAATAGAAGAAAATCAGAAGGTTTGTTTTTATTTCTTCAAGTGGACATCTGAGTTACTATCATATTACTGCTTTTGGAGATTTTTATTAGTGTAGCAACTTTCACATGGTTTCTATCACAGAAAAAGAGCTGATTGTTCTAAACATCTTTTATTAAATAAGTAACATTGAAATACTCAATTCAAATTTTTCACTTTCTGCTGTTCTTGGTACTTTTTCCCTCCCCTCTTTTGATTTTACAGAATTAGGCAAGGACAAACAATTTTTATGGAGTGTTGTGTTCAGTCATAAATTGTGTGCTGTGAAAGCAAAATAGGTATCAGTTAATTTTTCTAGAGCTTTGGTGTTGAATCTAGGCCTGCTGCTAGCTTTGAGCTTTCCACGCTCTCAGAATCACGCATGCAGCTATTCTGCAAGGTATTGTGAACATCGTCTGTGGTAGATGGTGGTTTTATTTCCATCCTTGATGCACTGCATCTTTTGTGCCTTGTATCACATGAGGAGTCATTGTTCCTGTGATTTTGACTAATCTGAGATGTATCCTGAGATGCCACTTTGTGTTTGTGGAGATCATGACATCTGTTGTATTTTCTGTCTCGGTTCAGATTTTGGATTTTTTCTTTCAAGCTGAGTGTTAAAATGAAATGTTAGCCACCATGCTTTTAGGACTGGTCACATGAAGTGACATCCATAGCACTGTTCTTGATCTTGATCTGCAGAACATGTATTTTCATGTAGTGTTAAGACTGACCGACCACCATAGTGAAAGGGTTTTATTTCTTACTTATGGCACTCCTGTGCTTTTGCAACATTTCCATGTATCATTTTGCTTTGTATCCATTCAGGCTTTTTCCTCTTGCCTTGCCAAGACTAATATCTCCAGGGGAATGCCTTTCCAGTTTCTTCCACCTTCCAAAACAGTGAAAGTGAACAATGTCCCTGTTGCACTGATGCAGCCTTCTCATAAAGACCTTGTCATCTCCATTGTAGCAAAAATTTCACATAAATGTGTTAGAGCTCTCCACCGTGCAAAAGTAATGTAAGGCTTTCCAGTCTTGAGTATTTCCTGCCCGAATAGTGACAGGCTCAAGTGTTATGTCCTTGTGAACGGTTATGCAAACAATTGTATAGGGCTTTTTTTGTCCATAGGTGATTGCGTGTGGGACTGGTGTATTGAGACTATATTTCATGTATCCCTGCAGTTCACCTTCTTGAGCCCTTCAGCTTTCTTGTGTGCAGGGTGCATGTTTAATTCTTGGGTTTTCACAGAGATCTTAGAGTGGGCTCAACATTATGCAGTCCTCTTGTTTCTTGCACTAGTAGAAGTCCCATAGTTTTTGCTCAAGGGAGCAAATCAGTATCTGCACCCTGATTTGTTGCTTTCTGTATACAGCTGAGATACGCATTTTCCTATATCTCTTTGTTGTTAGGGTTATAGTCAGGATAAAGCAAAACAAAGCCCTGATGATCATAGTTTCTCCAGAGCACAAATGTTGGTATTGGGACCTTCCTTGTTTCTTGATGAAGTCTTTACAATGTCTTTCTCAAATTGCAGCTTTGTTAACACAAAAATAAAAAACAACTGCTTAATCAAAAACTACTCCCCTACTCCAAAATGCAAAAAAAGTAGAGGTATATCGGGAATTAAAATAGCTATTATTACTAAATATAAGTATTAGGAAAAGTAACTGATTTGGTTTGAAATGAAGATATCTGCATTTAGGCACATCTATATGGTATCTAAACTTCTGTTATGACAAGGAAGATGTAGTCAATGGACATCAAAAACAATTTAGCTCGCTCAATGGTTGTTTTGTGGGGCATGATTGAGTTGCCTAAACCTGAATTTCTGATGTCATTTGAGATGCTGCAGGCTATCTGAGATAGTCACACAGGTCTGACAAATGTGTCCACTGGGACATCCATTCCTTTCTGCCTGACCTGTACTTTCCAGTCCAGGATGCCTTATCCTGAAACAAATGACATTGGATATCTATGTGGTTGGTCAGCTGAATCACTCCTATGATTCCATGACTGTATTAAGTACATTAATTGTAAGAGGATCTTAGGCACCTATCACACTAAGTTTAAATTTCATACTACATCCTACTTGTAGTCTAAAGGCTACAGGCCTTTAGATAGCTAAAAGCTAAAATCTGTTGAATAAAAGTAGGGAAACTTCCTGAACACTGCTGCTAGAGCACAATAAATTGGCATGTGCATTCTTGAACTGCAGTACATCCATCTAGCAGCAGGAGAGATATGATCTCATGCTGTGTGTAACTGGATGATTCCCTCTCAAGATAATGAAAGTTGAATAGGAAATGCAACGGGAGGAAATAAAGGTATTAAAAGTTGAAAGGCATGTGATGAATTAGGTGTAATGAATTGATACATAACTAAGAAATAGACAAAGAATTGCTATAGATAAAAGAAAAATAAAATCTCATTAAACACAACTCACAACTTCCATTGCAAAAATTTGCTGACAGTTTAGCAAGAAAATACTATATGAGTATTATCAGTGTTAAATTCTAGTCTTGGATGCCTAAATACTTCTTCCATCGAAGTTGTTACGGCAAATGGTTGCTCTTCTGAACAATCAAATGCCTAGCATCAAAATTGTATAATGAGTCTCAGCTCTGATTCAGCTCAGTTCTCTTCCTACTGCAGTACTGAAGGATTTGAAAAACTTTTAGACTCCCATTTCAATACCCAGTGACTGATAATTTTTTCATTGTTCTTGCATTCATTTTAGTTAGTATTAGGATTTTTATGATCTACATCAGCCAGTTGCAGTCTATCTCAGTATCTGTGTTTACATGAGCATCTGGGCTTATAGGAATGACCAGTAAGCTTTCAGTAGTGGTAAGAGATCTCTTATTCTAAATGCTGATTTCAGTGCTTCAGGGAGAGGGCCTGTTCTAGCTGATCTCACAAAATCTGCGCAAGAGCCCTGAAGGATGCTGGTAAGATTTCCTGAGACTGTAATCCTCTTTATATTTATTGTTTGCTCCTTGAGTCCAGTGGCATTAAGGGGCATTTTTCTGCAGTCACAGTACTTTGTGGCACAACGCTGGTATTAAAACTGTAATCCAAGTTGGATTTGCTAACTACAGAAAAATTCCAGTTATACCTAGGACTTTGGGTGCTTCTCTGCCTGGTGCAGAGAAGTCTCGGCACTGTGTGCCTAACTGTTTAATTTTGTCCCATCTGCCTGTTCTGGTTGTGTCTCAGGATCAAACTCTATGTAGGTAAAATGATCAGAAATTTCATCTGCTGCAAGGACACTTGTCAGGTATCTGTGAATTTTGGCTGCTTAGAAGGGATGTGTAGAGTGAGACCTTGGGAGGGCGTGTAATTCTGTGTGAAGCTGTGGTAGGAAAAATGTAAGTATCGGACACCAGCTGCTACTTCTAGGTTTTGTTTTAATGGTTGCGTGAGGTTTAACAAAGATCAATATGAAGTCCTGCACTTGGGCCAGAGTAATCCAAAGCTGCAGTTAGTTGCAAAGAAGATAGAAGTCCTTCTTCTTCTGTGCCACGTTTTGGGACATACAAAAAAAACCCATTTCTGTAATTTATATGATTCTATGATTGGGAGTAAAGTGAGTTTTGTAAATTAAGAAAGTAATTAAATTATCTCTTTCTTTTTTTCCTGATCTCGCCACAGGAAACTTACTGCCATGCATTTATGCTCCTCATTTTTGAAAGTCCACTGATATCCATTTTTTGGGTGCCTACTAACATTTTCATGAAAAATAAGAAGTAACTAAATTTTTAAAAAAAAGTTTTTCTGGTTATTTCTTAGCATTAGTGGGATGCAGCCCCTCCCAAATCCACAATATTCTTCACATTATATCTGAATTTGAATATATGTATTTAGATACTTTATAACAAGCATAAGTAATTATATTACTCTTCTGTAAATCTACATACAAAAAAGCAGTGAAAGCACTACAAAGTTCAGGTTACACCATTAGAATAAATTAAATTTACAAATTTCAAAAGCTGTTTTTCAAGGTCAAGGACAGGTTTTGGACTTTAATAAAAATTCTTTATGTGTTAGGTTCAGGCTTATCACAGCTGCATTTTTCCTTCATGTAGAGCCCTGCCTTTCATACGCTGGTATTAGGTGCATTACATATTTCCATTCTGCTTTGGGTTGTGAAGATGTTTATATATACTAAGGAATATGGTGCCTTTTCAACGAATGATGAGTAATATGCACATTTGTTGGATTACAAGGAGCTTCAAGTAAACTGTTCTTATTTATGTGGGGTTGCACTTGTAATGCCACAAACCAGTTAGCTTTGAGTTTACTTACATTTAACTGTGTGAAAGTAACCACGCTACTTTAAAGAAATATCATCGCTTTCAGTGTTTTCCCATTGTTTCTCTCATTTGTTCAGTGACAGGCTTATAAGTGAAGTAATATACGGAGCCCGAGTTGCTTGCTCTAAGTGTGCTTTTGTTCAAAGTGCGTTTTTTGTTCACACTTATTTTGTTCAGCAAGTGGGAGATAAATGGGGAAAAAATACATCTCTCTCAGCTTGCTTTTCTTCTGCACATTTTTCGTGCTTTCCATTCCTCTGTTGGGAGTTAAGACAGATCTGGAAATCTGACTGCTCCTCGTGGGGTGAGTTGGAATAAACTACTGCTGTTGCTCCTGTTACTTATCTTGCTACAGCCACCATAGATTGAACAGTGTGGTGCCTCACAGCCCTCTGAAATAAAATGATAAGGCATACTTTACTCCCTAAATACTTCCTTCCTCTTGTATTCGTTTATTGTGGATTTTTTTTTTCTTCTCTGCAAAGCAAGGATATGCTATGCTATCCCTTTCTGAACTATGTTTTTTCCAAGGTCCCTTTGTTAAATTAAATTGTATGTTTCTAGTCTGTCTTTCCTAATTCCCCATAACAATTGTGACTACACATTTTTTGGAATTGTGAAAGATGTTAAGCTATTGAGAAAGCTAGTTTCAAGTGGAGGTCTGAAGGACACGTAAGATTACCCTTT